ACAGGCGCACAGCGCACTGGCCAGGTGCCCAGGTGCGGGGCCTTGGGCAGTGAACTCCGACCTGAGCTGTGAGGCTTGGAGACAGTTTCTCAAAGCTTCTGAGCCTCAGTCTCCCCCCTGTGGAATGGGGCTAGTCCAGTCGCAGGACGGTGGGGAGAGCGCAGTGCCCGGTGCGGACGTGCAGAGCTCGGTTTAGGTTTGCTGTGATCTTTTCAGGAAAACCCCTGGCCACCAGGTCCCTCCCCGAGAGGACCAGTGACCACACTGACCCCAGCCTGTCCCCGGCCTTGCCCTGCTGGGGCTGCCCCTCCCCTGGGAAGCCCACCCTGCCTCCTGGGAGGGTGATTGGCAGCTGCCACTGCCCACCCCCAGCCGCCGAGCCTCCTGCTTACTCATGACACTGACATATGGCACCTCCGCGGGGGGCGGGGGGGGGGCGCTGCCGATGGTGAGAGCAGCGTGTCCTGCTGAAGCAAAACAAACACAACATGTGAGGGAGCAGAGGCGGCCGGGGGCGTGAGCAGCGTGTGCGTGTCTGCATGGCGCCTGCCCGGGCGCTGGGAGGAGGAAAACGGAGGGGGAGGCTGCGGGCTCCGGGCTGAGGCCTGGCTTCCCTGCTTGGGGCTCTCAGCTCCTGGGGTCCTCCGAAGTCACGTGGTCCATCCAGCCCCTCCCGGCCGCTCTCCGTGGGGACACTGGGCTCAGGCCGGGAAGGAGGTGGGGACGCTGGGCTCCAGGCCAGGAAGGAGGTGGGGACGCTGAGCTCAGGCCGGGACCTAGAAGTGTTCTTTCTTCCAAGAGCCCGGAAGCCACCGAATGTCAGACCAGACCCACAGGCTCAGGCTGAGCCAGTTCCTGCTCTGCGTTTGCGGACGGACGAGGGTGTGCACTGCAGGGGGCAGCAGCCAGTCCCTCCCAGACCCCCTCTCCCGGGTCAGCAGCCCCTCCTCTTCCCAGGGCTCAGGATGCTGCCATGGCAACGAGTCCCTTTGCTGGCGACAGCACGCATCCTGGAAAGGGTCAGTGGTCCAGGGACCAGGGGGTCCAGCAACTGTCGCACCACCTCCAGGACGTCCAGGACACCCCATCCCTGGGTGGCAGGTGGCAGAGCAGGAGGCCAGCCCCAGGCCCCCCCTGCTCTGCCACCTGCCTCCTTGGTAGTAAGAAACCTCGAGATCCAGAGCGAGCCCAGGATGGGGCTGGCCCAGCGGGCGGGGCGGAGGGCAGCGGATGCAGAGCCGCTGTGAGCCAGGCCTGGCCTGGGGCC